CAATGGGATAAAAATGATGACACAACCTTGGATTTTTCTGAATTGGTACCTTGGTATAAAGCAGAAGTAGCAATCGCTACTATCATTGGACAACCATTAAATAACCTGCCATCAATTGATTCAATTTCCAAAGCTGCTGCTCAATACGTTGGAATGTTCGCTTTTTTAATGTTTATACCAAAGATTATTAGCAGTAATTTTATGATTATTGGTTTTAATGCTATGAAAAAAAATTCTACTTTCTTGAATAGTACAATCGTAGTATTATTAAAAAACGTAGAGATGAGATTAAAAATGGATCGACAACAAGTTTTAATTTATTAGACTTATTGTTGGTTATTAATTCATTCAATGATTCTGAAGAATATATTGAGGGCGAACAACCTATGAATGATGAAGAAATTGAAGCTAATCTTGCGGAAGTCACTGCTACTTCTATTGAGACGGTAATTATCAAAATTTTAATTAATTTAAATCAAATGTATGAATACTAACCAATATTTGATCAATATTTTATTTAATAGACCACCTCTGCCCTTTGTTTTCCCGTCTATAATGTTACTAAAAATCCTTTAACTCTTGAAAAACTTCGTGCAGAAATCTTTAAAGTATTTGGCTCAGATACAACCTTAACAATTACCTTCGAAGCTCTTGAAAGTTGTCGCTATTTAGATGCTTTGATCAAAGAAATGTTACGTCATTCGAATCCGGGTCCATTTACTTTACGTGTGCTTGACGGTTATGAAAATGTAGGTGATTATCATTGGTCACCTGGAACATGGTTCTTTGTTGATAATCACCGAATAATGAATAATCCTATATATTGGAATGAACCAATGAAATTTCGATTTCTCATTGAAGAACATGGAGGCACTGGTGAATTTAGCAAAATGTGTAGGAATGGATATGTGCCATTTGGTGGAGGTTTAAGAATATGTCCAGGAAGAAATATCGCATTAATTGAGCTAAAATTGTTTGCAGTACTATTTTTTAGAAAGTACAATATTGAGCTAGTAAACAAAGAATCAATTAAATATATTTATAGGGCAACTAACCAAGTTCATGACTTCATGGTCAAAATATCAAAAAAAAAACAATAATATAGTCTGCAATTCCTTTGGTTTTAAAGATAAATTTTAAATTTACTAATTAGCAATTTTGTCAAACATTTTATAATCTGATGATTGAGTTTTTTAATGAATTTTTTTATATTTGTGCTGAAAATTTTTAAATTAGCTTTTTTTAAAGTAATTTTTTTTAAATAAAGATCTTAAAAACTTAAAGCTAATTTAAAATTAGATTGATCTTGTCAAAAACCTAAATCTATAAAATTTTTTTTTATAATTGAAATTTTAAGTTTAATATAAAATATTTATTATTTATATTATTTAGATAACAATGTTAAATGATAGTGCTAAATAAGTTAACATTGATGTCTGATTATTCAACAGATAAATTTTGTAAATTCGTGGAGAAGATCATTGTGAAGTGCAGAAACATGTAATTATCTATAGGGTCGCTGCTGACAATGGGAGTAGTTGAATAAAACATTAATGGAGATTGGTCAGCACCTAATAATGGATCTTGGTTATTGTTAATTTGGAAAGCATGTGAGGAGGAATTATTGAACGCAAGATCACGAAAAATGTTATTCCTGAAGTACTAATATTTCTCGGGGACGATAATGCGATTTGATTTTTGTATATTATAAGGCCAAAGACAGATTTACATCTCCTATCATCTTGTGAACTATTTACTTCCCGAGACATTGATAAATAGTTCTCCATTTTTGCTTATCAGTAGATATGTTAAGAATGACCTTTGACCTATTGGCAGAATTGGAAGGGTAAGATTTTGTCATAGTGGAGTTTATGAAACTAAAAAGTAGCAGAATCGCTATAATATTAATTATTTAATAATAAGAATATTTTTGCAACAGTATTATATAAAATCACTACGTCAATTTTTTCAAAATAATATTAGTGGTCACATGTATCAATGTTGGGATTTTTATTGGTCGAGAAAAATCGTGTATGTGAGTGATGCTTAGTGATGCAGTAGAATTGCCTCAATGATTATCGTAATTAACTTACTACAGCATTATTT